TGACTCCTTCTTCTTTTTAATTCACAACTGATTTTAAGGAGGAAGAAGAGTTCAATATGAAAGCTTTCTTTTTCTTTTTAATCACTCTTTAATTGACTTTTTAATTGTTTCCCCCTATCAGACTCTGAAAAGAAAATTATTTTTATCTTTATTCTCATTTAACCATGCAATTTTCAATTGCAAATAAGTACAGCTTAAAGCAGCATAATTAGAAATCGACTGAGTCAAGTCAAGAGGTTGGCATTCAGGTTTACTCCTTAGGAGCTGAAGAACAACTTGGCTCTCTCCTTAGCCCTGGAGAATGATGTTCAGTAATCTGCTTAGAGGTGTTATAAAACCATCCAGTGGGCTTCTGAAAACGAATGTTGTGAGCCTACTAGATTTATTGAGTTTATTTCCTCGTGTAAGTTAACTTCTTTGTTCAAATCTGCTGACTTGATCTTAGATGCGCTTTCTGTGGATTTTTTTTGATCATTTCAAAGCTGTGTCAGCCAGTATTTACCCGGTGGCTGTGCTGGCTGGCAGACTGGTCCCTCAGTAACAGCTGGAATAGTCTGTGCACTTCTTTCCACGTGGCTCTGTTTCACTGTAAGCAGCAGCTCATCATCCAGTGGCAGTTGCTATGTGACAGGACGTTACTCAGACCTTAGTGGTGGTACTGATCTTGGTAATTCTCTGTTCTTTCCTACCCTACCCAAAGGTGAGGCTGTGTTTGCACGGTGCCTGTCGTCCCTCAAGGATGAGAGAGTGCAGGCCAGTAAGCTGCTGAATGGGCCTAAATTGACTCAATTTAGTGGGAACAAGAAGGCATTTCTTGAGGACATACGCAAGGTGAGTCACTGTGTTTGCCAGAGCACTCTATTAAAGCTGCTGGTCAGAACAAGTTGTGGATGCTGTAAACAGTGATGAGGGGCCCAGGTCTACTTCTCATTCAACTTTGCGGGTTCAATTCTATTATTTTGTTTGTTTTAGGCCCTGTATGCTTCCAAGATTATCTCCTATGCTCAAGGCTTCATGCTGCTGAGACAAGCAGCCAAAGAATTTGGCTGGACACTGAATTATGGTGGCATTGCACTGATGTGGAGGGGAGGCTGCATCATCAGAAGGTAATTGAGATGAAGCGGTGGTGTAGTTGCTGAGGGGCGAAGAGGAGGCAATTTACTTCATGTAGTGCTAGACTGAGAAGCCCAGAAATAAGAAAATCCATGGAGTTAACCTGTTGGTAAGGTTCTGGGGATCTGTTTCTCTAGTCAGCATTAGAGATTACAGATGACACCAGTTTTCTGATGGCTGAGCTACTACAGATTTTCATAGGCTGAGTCAAGTTTTGGCATTTTTGATTCTAGGCCATTGTAGAGAGGTACACAGTTTGATTTCTGGTTTGTATGTATTCTCCCCAGTGTGTTCCTGGGAAAAATCAAAGATGCTTTTGATCGAAACCCTGAACTTCAGAATTTGCTGTTGGATGATTTCTTTAAGACAGCTGTAGAAAAATGCCAGGTGAGTTTCCAAAGAAGGAAAAACAAAAACCCAGCAATATGCAGTCTGAACTTCTGCACTTTGTTTCCATCACAACTTTATTTTATCAGAAAAAATGAAAAGGTGGGAAGAACTTCTTTGAATCCTATTTATGCAGCATCCTTAATCCCAAAGATTTCTAACCAGTCTTCAGGCTATTTGTGTATTTTACCTGCACACATTTCTGAGCAGGAATTAATCATTTATGGCTCCGAGGTATCCTTTAATAGAACATACCAGTCTTAGAAGATGAGGATGAGAAATAAGCCATATAATTGAAGGTGGTTGAAACAACACAAGAAAATTATTGAGAATCAAATTAGAATTTTTCAACATGGTGAGGTTGGCGACCTGTCCTTCAAAATACCTACAAATGCCACTTGCCTCTTTTTCGTCAACAAGCTGAAAAGTGGAAGTGCTAAGTGAAGAAAAAGAGTTTTGCACCTCTTTATAAATGATCATCCAGGTATATCAAGCAGCAAATCAAGATCTTGCGTAGTATTATAAGATTCATTATCAATGTCAAGATAATACAGGAGCAAATAAACATATCATCATTGTTGTACCATGGTTCTTCTCTTTAGTTCTAAAGAAGCTACCATTAAAACTAAAGATTTCCACTGTACCATTACAGAAGAACCCTAAGCAGGAACGTAGCAGTTCAGTAGAACCACAGTGTCAGGAAGAATTGCCCAGCCTGTATGAGCATTCTGATCACTGCCAGGTGCCTTGTGCCTGCTGCGTGCTTGGACTCCAGTGGTACAAAGTATCAAGCTTTGTTCTAGTTGTTTGCAGTAGCACCAAAATAACAGCGTGTCAAACCAACCATTCGTTAGGCTGTCCAAACAGCGCCCTGATTTGGGTGGGAGATGACAGGCAGGACTAAAAACAGATTATCTGGACAACAAAGAAGTCTTATCATTAATAACTTCTTTTATTGAAGCTGATTATTCCATGGAGGTTCCTAAATCATGTGTACAGCTGAAATAATGGTTATCCACATGTCTGTCCGAAGCAACATGCTGATTTCTTATGTCTGGGTGGTGGTTGTGTGCTTGATAGATGTCCTGAAAATGCCTCACTGTGTTCGTGTTCTTGGGATGCATGGATGGTCTGTGAAGGAACAGCATTCTTGTCTCAATTGTCATTGGACTGCATGCAAAGTATATGCCTGCACTTTTATTTGCTTGATTGCTGACTGGCTCACTTGCTGATATTTTGGATCAACCTTTTTGTGTTAAATCAGGAATATACTGCTGTGTTTGCTCAGACTTAGATGTCATATAATGTGAAATTGCACGCAGTGTTAAACTGGAATGCTGTATATGCTCACATGTATGTTTCTCTTTTTTTTTTCTTTTTCTTTTTTTCCCCTTCCCCTCTGCCCCAGGACTCCTGGCGACATGTAGTCAGTACTGGAGTCCAGTATGGTATTCCTATGCCCTGCTTCACTACAGCACTTTCTTTTTATGATGGATACAGACATGAAGTGCTGCCAGCTAACCTGATCCAGGTAGGTGCCTGAAATAGTGTGGTAAATCTTCTATCTACTGAAATATCAGCATGTTATTATTTAATTACTGATGTAAGAATCGTGATGGCAGTTATCTCCTGGTCACTCCACCACTGTAAAAATATAGACCTTGATTGCCTAATATACTTCAAAACCTGAAATTCAAGCTAGTAAGATGCTATGAGATATCAGTCCATAGAATACAAGAGGCAGTGGTATGACAGTGCCCAGTGTGTGCTAGTATTCTATCTCTAAAGCAGGGAGTAGTGTTGCTTTTGGATAAAAATGCTTTGTTTAAAAAAAAAAAAAACAAAACAACAAAAAGCATACGTATCTATAGAGTTCTGGATGTACGTAAGTCTTTCAGGTTTGTACATGTCAGAAAGAATACAGTTGTCTTTCTGTGAAACTGCTGATTAATAGATTTTAATAAATGTTTTATTGTAGTCTTTCCTAATAGTGATGCAATAGTTTTGAATGTTGTACCAGAGTCACATGTCATTTCTTGAATTCTTATGCTCGTGTCTCACTGTGTGCCATTTCCAGTACTTGTGTGGCTGTCATATTCATGTGTCTTCTTATGTTGTGTGTGTGTGTGTTCTTATTCTAGGCTCAGCGTGATTACTTTGGTGCACATACATATGAGTTGTTATCGAAGCCAGGTGTATTTATCCATACTAACTGGACAGGCCATGGAGGAAATGTGTCCTCTTCTGCCTACAATGTCTAATGGAAATATTCCCTCTTGAAGCTGAGATACTATAGATCTCAGATATTCCTCTGTGAACGCCCCTTTTTACTGTACTGTTAGAACTTGCATTTGCACGCTTTTGTAATAACTTGTGGGTATAATTCACATATATAAGAAAGCTAAATAAACCTGCTTGTACGTATGTTGAGATGTTTTTTTTTCCTTTGCTGCTGGCTAAAATGTCTTTGAACAGAATTTTAATGTGCTAATTCTTAATGCATTTTAATGTGCTAATATTTTTATTGTATTGTAGTGCATAAACTCATAGAATCAAGATAGAGAAGGCTGCATTTCAATAATTGCTAAAGTGGAGAGTGGCAGACAGTCAGCACAGTGACACTGCATGAGATTCCAGGGAGGTAAAGAGTTTTTCTTGTTGGTTCACAGCAGGCAGCAGCTGGCTTCTTGACAATTCATTTCTGGGTATTGACCTGCACGGGGTCCTGCACACTGCAAGCTGCTTCTTGTGAAAGGATGAAGGGTGGGATGGGGCATGGGGAACCTTGGTACAGATTAGAGGTGTCAAGACAGGTCTGGCTGTCAGTTCTCTGTGCAGCTGCAGTTCCCTGCTGATTCTGCCTAGCCATGTGTTGTGCCTCTTCCTGCCCCGGGCCAAGTAACATAACCTGCAGCCGCATGCAGGATTGGCTCTGTTTTTCCTCTAATGCCATCATTTTAAGGACTGTTGAAAATTCACCTCAGTGCTTGCACCTTTATTTCGCAGAACCTGTCGTGTAATATGTTTTGAGCAGTGAACTGATGCCTGGATTAATTTTGTGCTCCCTTTAGCAGGAGAGCTGCTCAGTGGCTGAGTGCCAGTGTGATTTAACAAGGGACTGCTTATGATTTAAAGCGACTTTTTGCAGATTACACTGTAAGATCTAGGGGTTTCCGTAACACCAATGCGTTACTGCAGGCACTGGCACCTGAAGTGCTGTGAAAGTGTGAGCAGTTGCTGTTCACGTGCTTTGTGTTACAATTCTCTGTGGTGAGCAGTAGGAACGGCTCTGCCCGGCGTTACAGCGGAACTCCGCGTGCGCAGAGGTGTTTCGGGGCGGAACGGGGTGCTTCCACGCGTCCATCCCAGTGCGCATTAAAAACCCACCCGGCTCCAGCCGCACCGGCGGGCCTGAGGGAGCGGCCGGGGGGGGCGGGGCCAAGATGGCGGCGGCGCGGCTGCGCGTTAGCGCTGGGCGGGAAACTTCGGGCGGGCGAGCGATGGAGGCGGCGGGCGGCGAGCAGCGGGAGCTGCTCATCCAGGTGCGGCGGGGCCGCCTCTTGTCCTGGTCCCCCCGCTCGTGCCCGGCGGGGCCCGGCTGGTGGAGCAGGGGCGGGGGGCCCCGTGTAGGTGAGGCGCGGTGCGCGCAGGGCGGGCTGCGGGCTGAGCTGTGCGGGGCCGTCTTGTAGAGGCTGCGGGCCGCGGTGCACTACACGACGGGCTGCCTGTGCCAGGGCGTCGCTGAGGACAAGGGCGTACTGTTCAGCAAGCAAACCGTCGCCGCCATATCCGAGATCACCTTCAGGCAGTGCGGTACGTCCGCGTGTTACCCTGCGGCCCAACGGCGGCTGGTGGGGATGGGCTGCGCTAGGAGAAAGAGCCTCGGGCTCTCAGTGATGCAGAGCTTCTTGTGTCGTGACTTTACAGCTACAAGAAATAGTCATTCTGTTTTTCTTACCTCAAAAAAGCACTTAAATGTATGCGAAGTGGCCCATCTGCCTGTGCAGCAGTGTTGTGTGAGAACAAGCTGTGGTCACTTCTTGTTATTTTGTTTGACAATTTGCCATTGCACCTTTGTATTACAGCAGTATGTATTTCTTCCAAATCAGACACAGCGTTCTAAAATACAACATGTCTCTCTTTTTTCTCCAGAAAACTTTGCAAGAGACGTCGAGATGTTTGCCAGGTATGTTGCAGGACATTGTGAAGGCATTTTTGCATTAGCCCGAATTATAGAATGTCCCATGCTGGAAGGGACCTTAAGGATCATCAAGTCCAGCTCCTGTCTCCATCAGACCACCCAAACATCAGGCAATACATCTGATTTTAATTGCATAATATTTAAAATGCATTTTGCAGTTCTTTTTTAAGGTTTTAAAAAGCTCTCTTGGCTGATTAAATAGTTACTGTGTAATTAAGAAATAGACATGCTGTTATAGGTTCTTCCTCATCTTGGAAGTCCGCATGTGCAGTGTGAACGATTGTTTAGATTAGTGACTGCATATAATTGCCAGTTGTGTTGATGTGTAGCGGTGCTGGGTGGTTTGGGAGTGACAGATGCTTGCTAGCATACCCGTGGTTCGTCTGGTTGCTTCAAGGAGGTAAGGGAATGTTTAAGAAGTCTGTGAGTGAATGAAAACCAACTCAGTAACACACTGGGAAGTCAGAGTGAGCAGCAGTGCCTGATGTTCTGGTTACTGAACGCTACTGTTTCTGTGTATGTGTATTTAGATGTATGCATACATGACTACAACACAAAATTTTTTTTACAAACAATGGGTATCGTTGGTTTACTGGGTCCCTATTAGGCCCCATTAGTTAAACGTTCTCCTTGACTTTTTACACCTGGAGTTAGCAAACACATCAAGAAGTGTTTTTAAATTATATGCAGGCATGCAAAGCGAAGCACAATCACTTCAGAAGACGTGAAGCTTTTGGCTAGAAGGAGCAATTCTTTGGTGAGATTCACTGTATTTTCTGCCTTACAACTTTCTCATACCTGTTGGTTAATTCCTAAGAGCATCTGAGTGATGCTCTTTAAATGCTGAAGTAACTGTTGTTTAAGCAGTTTAGTTGGTTTATAGATGGTGGATGGGCACGATCCCATGATTTGTTTTAATTTTCATCACATTTTTCTTCATGATGCTATGCCTCACTGTGGGCGTCTGATTGCAATTTAAGCAACAATGCTCTGGTTGCAGTAGAGCTTCTGAGGTTCCAAATGTACGAATACAATAAACGAGCACTACTTTTTTTTTCCTGACATTGTATTCCTTTATTTTAGCATAAGGTCAGACACAGTTTGCACCCGTGTCAAGGTGCTGGGTCTCCTAGTCAGATTAACATAAGGATGATTCACTTCATTTCTCTTCTGTGCTGGCGTATAGGAGAAGGCTTATCTTTGCTTTTTAAGACTTTACAGTATAAATCGGTGCTGCTTTTAAAAATAGAACTGCAAATGAAGTTTTGAAAGCTAAATTGAATGCTCATTTTCATTTTATGCATTTTTTTCCCTTCTATGTGATTTAAACTATGCAACAAGAACTCAGTGTGAAAGGACATAGTAAAGGCTGGAGCTGAATTTTTTGTTCTTAATAATTGTGCACTATTTATGTCTAATGTTCCTCATTAGACCACTGATTAGTTTATTTTTCTCAGCTTAAGTACATCACACAGAAAAGTGAAGAGCTTGCATCAAGTAACATGGAACAAAAGGAGAAGAAGAAGAAGTCCAGTGCAGCTAAGGGAAGGAGAACTGAGGAAAATGAAACACCTGTGACTGAAAGTGAAGATTCCAACATGGCATGATTTACCTTTCAGTAACTTCTCTGGTCTTCCCTTACTATCCTAGAAGACCAAGGTTAGCCTGCCAGTGATTGCTCTTGCAGGTTAGCAAGCTTAAGGAATCTCTGTAATTTTTTTAGGTAAATGTGCTTAGTTACATTTTCTTGTTCCAAAAATGAAAGGACTGTTGGAATCTGACAAAGTTTACAGCCAAAATGCCTGAATTGTTCACTAAACAAAATCTTACTGTTATTAAGAAGAAACTCCTTTATTAATAGAATTTAAAGCAAGGCATAGCCACTGAGCATATTCACACCTCAGTATGAGCAACTCCCTGCAAAGGACAATTTAATTTCTCCAATAATTTTTTGACCTCTTCCTCACTTCCATTTCTGACAGATTTGTTTAGCTATTATAAACATTTTCCTTTTTCATAGCCGTATCTCTTGTTGCCTTGGCAATTAAAGCATGTTCTGTGTCATTTCTCTCCTGTGATTTTGTTGATGTACAGTAATCACCTTCTGGAAGTTGTGGGGCACTTTCCAAGCGTTGTGGAATACGGCCCCCGGTGGTGGTTGGAAATCACTACTGCCCTCTGCCGGTCTGATCCAGGCTTACCAAATGCTGACTGAAAATGAATTCCTCCTACCTTCAGATCAATATTTCACAGTGGCACTTTTAAATATCCTCCTGTTTCCCAGTCCAGAACTGCTCCACCTCCAGGGATAAGATGGTCTTTTAAATAAATTATTCTACTGACTAATGCAGAGTAATCTAGATAGATGATGATAAACTGTAGAGATTCTGTATTCAACAGGAAGTTTTTCCTCTTGAAATGCTGGTGTTTCTTGACTTTTCATATATATATTTTTTAAATAATGCCCCTATCCATTACTTTCTTTCTTGAAGTTTGTGTGTCATACATTTCTTTCTTGAGGCTTTGTGTATTGTCATATATACTGGTCACCATATAGGAGATGGAAGAATTTGTGATGTTTTAAGGAAGAAATCATTAATGCAGTGTTGAAGACCATTAATTGAGGCTACTCGTTCATGGCAAATGTATTTCTGAGAAAGGAATCTGTTACAAGGTAGGTTTGTCTACTTGGATCTGTAAATAATGAAGGCTAAGTTGGGGCTTTGATATTCTAAATGTTTTGCCATTAACAGAGCAAAGCAGCAGCCACCTCAGCTTTTGCCTTCTGGCAATGTTCACGACCTGTGCTGCATCCCTGCCTCCTGAACATCTCTAAAATGTTCATACTTATGAATCATGTGCTGCACAGTTCCTGTGTTTAAATGTTAAAACTTCTTAAAGGAAGAACATCAAGGAAATGCTAATTTTTGCATAGTTAGGGAACTTGCAGCTTAAATGAGCTGAAGTGAATCAAACACTTTTCATCTATAAAACATACATCTAATTTAGTGTTAAATTAAATTACAGAGCATGGTTTGTTTCTCCTGATTTGCATATGCTAGATAAGCAAAGAGTGACCAAATATCATTTTCTGCTTTGATCTACACTTGTCTCTAATGCAGATGGTTCTTCAGCTGTCTGTTGTCCTCAGCTACAATTTGTCACTTTGACCAAATGCTTGTGCACGTAACACTGCTGGAACATGGAAGGTGCTGGCTGAAAGCCTGAGGTTGTGCACTGAAACGTTTTGTGATTGTTTGATGTAGAAACATTAGATCTGGCAGCAGGTCTTTGTTTTCACTGACAGGGAATTCTAGCTCTGAACTGATGTTCAGAATATAATGATCAGAAGCTACCCTAAAAAAAAAAGGCCAATTTATAAGGATAATTGAACTGCTACATTTAAAAATGCCATTGAGGTATTTTAGTTTTCAGCTTTGATTGATTGCACTGTTGAAATAGATCCAAGCAGCAGTACATAAGCTTGACCATTAAAAAATGATTTTTCATAGAAATTAGGGGATGAGATACAGCAGTGAAGTCCGTTAGCCTATTAGCTAATTGCTTCTCATTTTTCACTGAGACATTTGAAGAATGTTGACTGTAACAGAGCTTTAAGGAGAGTTAAGTACTAAGTATGTGCTCTTTGCAGATGATTCAAATTACTCCTGAAAGTTCAGCTTTCAGCTTAACTGCAGCTCCCATCAGCTTATAAAGTTCTGATTATTTTGTTACTGTAACAGAGTGATTAAGGAAAAAAGTATCTGTTTAAATCATACTATGGTAAGCCCAGTTAATAATTTAATTCTGAAGTTTAAGAACTGCAATATTGAATAACTTGCAGGCATCTAAGTTCTAACCTTGGTAACAGAAAAAAGGAGAAAGCAGTGAAAGCCTCTATTTGTTTTCTTCTTAAAGTCAGATTTGAAGGACCATCACTGCCTTCTACAAGAAGTATCAGCATGGTCTCTGTGACTTCCAGCTCAGAATTTGCCTGAAGTAGGTGAGTTCAATACTCCTAATACATGCAGGATGTCAGTAATCATGCTGTTATTTTAGGTGTATGTGAAAAATTGCCGGGTAAAATCCTCCTTTCCTCTTGTACAGCACGAGCAGCAGGATTTCCATTGCTAAGCTAAGCTAGGAAAAAAAAGCAAAGTATTGCAGCCTTGAGCAAGATTGACAAACTAGTTGATAACAGGAAGAATGCGAGACATGAGCTCACAGAAAAGCCTGCTGACAGCTGGTATGCCTAGTGCACTCAGTGTCATGAGCTTTGTGCGTAACAGAGCATGCTTCAAAAATTGTTTATGGACAGCTGTATACGCTCTTTCATAAAGGCTTGAACATAAAAAGACTGTAATAAGTAGCTATTAAAAACAGCAGGAAACTCTTTTACCTGCCATGGCCTGCAATGTTACAAGCCAGAAATATATACTGTATGAAGCAATTATGTGCCTTGGCAAAACAGGCTTCAAGAAGGTGACTGCAAGCTTCCCTCCAATTCCAGTCAAGTCTCAGTGGGTTCTTGCCCAGAGGCACTGAACTGGCAAGGATACATATTAATTACACAGGCAGTCTAACTTTGTATGTGCCACAATCCAACTCAAACCTACATACAGCAGGTTCATCTGACTGCCTGCTGTAGCAGTACTTAGCAGAAGGCAGCCTGCACCATTTGAAGTTATGTTCAGCCAGTGGGTTTTGCGTGGTGATAGAAAACATCGATAGCTACAGAAACATTAGGTTCTGTCTTACCTTTCAGATTATCTCATGTCCATCTCCCAAGATGGAGAGTTCTGGTGTGATGTTCACAGCGGAGTGAATGCAGCTGTACTTCCACAACATTTTTGAGTGAGTAAAATAGGGAACACTTCCGTATTTAAGTTCTTCTACAGTCCTTAACATAATACTATACTTACTGGCACATTCTTTAATCATAGCAGCCACATCAAAACTAATCCAACGTTTTAGTACAAAAAAAAGTTTTAAAGACATGAGAATTCAGTCAATTTAAAAACAAGCAGGTTAATGCAGAGCTGTCATGATGATATACCAATGGTTAGAATACAGACCAGCCAAATACAAGTCTTCTGCCCCACAGCCATTCAAAACAAGCATTTCCATTTTAGCTGTTCTACAAATTAGTGCTTGCACTACACTGAAAGATGCAGGAGTTTTTTTTACATGAAAAATAAACAAACAAAAAAATCCCCATAACCACAACAAAAACACAGAAGAGGTTTTGATTTTACTTTAACAGGTAAGATTAGCATAAGAATTCCAAGTGCCTAGATGCCAGGCTAGAGATTAAAGGAAGCAGCTGGAAAAACTGCCCAATGCTAGTATCACAATAATTCCCTCAAAAAAACCCTAAAATCCCAACCCCCCCAAAACCCAAACATTCTGTGTTCAGTGAGCAATGATCAAAATGCCTGCTTTCTGTTCATTAACGATGTAAATAATTTTCTTCCTTTCTGCTGAAAATTGTGGGAAGGTGAGCAGACTGCCTGAGGCTTCAGAGCTAGATCAGCATTATCAGATGGAATTTTCTGGCTCCCACCCCAATGAGCTATTCAAAGCTCAACTCTTACACGCTGTGTTTAGCAATACCATTGTTTTACTACTCTGCAAAAAATCCAAATCCCTTTGGTTACACATGATTTGAATCATCACAAGTATTTATGCCTCAGGACAACATCCAAATTTGAGTTTTCTGCAGCCAGACCACAGTATGACCAGCAAACTATGGCTCCCAGGACATACCTTATTTCTGTTGGTTCTAATAAAAAAAAAAAAATTAAAAAAAAATGCAACCGACAACTACTTGCATTTCCCTCACGTGAGGCAGAACTACAGTCTTATTTTCTGCGTTTTGAACTAAGCCCATCTCCACAAGGCAGTGCTTTCTTGCCCCTTGATGCGCTCCTCAGGGAGTGCAAAGTCTGCACTTGCTGTAGACGCTTGCAGAGCTCCTGATCACAGGCTTGTTGTACAGCTTCAGCTTTCTGCTTGTCCCAGCCTAAAGCTGCAGCCAGGGTTTGTGTGTCTTCTTTCACCACCAGCTGTAAGAGACAAACTTGTAGCAGTGCTGCCCACTGATGCTCTAACACCACAACCCCCTGCCCACAACACACTAAGAACAGCAGTAATGAGACACCTGTTTAATGTCAATGTAGTGTTGAAGATGTTTCCAGCTTATATCTTGTATCTCTTAGGCTAATGTATTTTTCTTTATATCCTACCAGTACTTAGAGCTCTATGAAGTACATGAAGCTCTATGTTCAAACTAGCAGAAAGCAGTTACTTTGTTTCTGCAGCAGAGAAAAGTGAGATTAACAATTTAATATCATCAGAACATTTTCTCATGGCTAGTTTACAGACTTTCCTTTTTGTGCCCCAGAGGCTTCCCCTCTCAACCCTTCCTCCCAAGAGGAGAGATTTCCCATGGTTGTTGACATGACTGTATGATCCTCACCCACCTCTAGAGTCTGACTGTCCAAGCAGAGCTCTGGGGCAGGTTTCTCTTTTAAAACTGCAAAGACCTGATCACTGAGGGCTGTTCTGGCTGAAGTCCCTGCACTGCTGGAACCTGTGTCAACCACATCCATCTCCTTTCCCGGTGCACTTTCAGACTCTGAAAAACAGAAGAATCATTACAGCCACATGCACAGGACAGGAAGCGTAGTCCAGACTGCATTGTTGTTTTTGAGATTAGATATGCAGCCTCTAATTTAGGAAATCCGTAATATTAAGGATGACTACACTGCGTAAGCTTTTCCCCCATATTCTACTTTCAGGCACTGTAAGCAATGTGACAGCAGTGAAAGGACTCCTGGTCTCTGCCATTCAGAGAACTCTTCCACTACATCAGCTATTCCATGATGTTAATAGCAAGCGACTCGCCCCAGTCCTTCCCCCACTTATTTGTCCCACTCAACTCTTCCAGGCTTCTCCGAGAAGCTCCTTTTTCAGCATCCTAATGTTCCCTACCTGCTACTTTGCTTAAGATGTTGTCTTCATTTTTCAAGGCCTCTAAGTAGAGTTCCAGGAGCTGCTTTGACTGACGTTCCTCTTCTCGTCTGTCCAGCACCTGCTGCAGGGTGTCCTGCAATACCTGGGTTTTGGATTGACTTTGGGCAAGTTCCTCTGCCAGATCCGAACGTGGTACATCAATAAGCACCTTAAAACAATAGGAGTGCTCCTGTTATATGGACTGAGTGAGTAATTCTGTCACACTGATTACAGCACAAACAACAAGCCCGAATGACAGAGCCTCCACCTTTGTGAAACCTTGTATATTTCACAGCAGTCAGCCTGGTTATGAAAAGCTGCAGTGGCATTCCAGCAGCCCAGAGATATTCAGGAAGTTGCAGAATGGTGCATTTTTAACATGATGATTTTTTGCCTGACAATTCCAGGCAAAGTACCAATTCTTAAGCAAGTGTAGAAGCACACAGAA